CTCAAAGGCTACCGATACCCACAAATATGTCACACTAACATAGCTATTGCTTAGACCGTGTCGGTATACCCCGCACAGTTTCCACAACGTATTGCTATTTACCTATGAATGTTTCCCAAATCTGGGTAGAGGATTCAAACCCCAACAATAGAACCAAAGTGTAAAGAAAACAAGTCAAACAAGATAAGCATGTAAAGGTGATCTAAAACCCTAAGGTAACCCCACTTTTATATATATCCCCAGCAGAGTCGCCAGTTCTGTGATATGGTGGGAGAACTGACTAGAGGTTTTGCGTTTCGTTCGCACTTGTGCGGTTAGCAAGAGTCGCCGCCGACTTTTCTTTTATCCAAAAGGAAAGGCAAAAAAGCACAGGAAAGACCTTTCGAGAATTTTCTCGGGTTCGGGGGGTAGATTATGAAAAGGGAAGGTATTAGCACCCTTTTCATCCATGGTTTTCCACGGGCTCTTAGTTACTCGTTTAGATCACTTGCTTTTGTTTGATTGTGTGCTTGTGGTGTGGGTTTTCAAAGTATTTTGGAAAATCTCTTTGTAATGGTTCTCGTCTCTATAAGAACATATACAAAGTTTTATTTTGAAAAATGGTTCAAAGAGGTGTTTGTGAACCATGTTTTTGAAAAGTGTTTTGAAAAGAGGTTTTGCAATGGTTCTCGTCTCTATAAGAACGTATACAAAATGTTTTGTCTTTTGAAAGTGTTTTGAAATGGAGGTGTAGGTGTAAAAGTTTTGTCGTGAGCAAGCGAGTAACTAAGAGCGAATCTATCTACTCGAAAGGTCTTAAGTTGTTCTTTTCTTCTTCCTTTTAATGGTGTTATCTTACCATTGATTTGGTAAGAAGCCCCATTATTAGATGTTAAGGGGCATGCGCGGGTCAATTTTACAATCATTGAAGACAACTTGTGAGACGCTCTAGCAATTTTTGTAAGGGATGAGATCGTTTTAATCGAAGGCAACATCGAGGGTCATCGAGGGTCTACGATCTTTGTTTATCGAAGGGTCATTGCTAGAGTGTCTCATATTCGAGGGACATGATTGTATTTCTGAGGCAACGAGCGAGGTTACCCTAGAGGTGCGCGTGTGAGAAAGTGTGTTGGTTTCAAGTTATTTATTCTTTGATTAGGTCATCTAGCGATTGATTTTTGAATCTTGCTATACATGCCTAGTTATTATACAGTATATGGAAAGCAGTAAATTGCGGGAATTGAAATTCTACGCTATTACAAAAGTATTCGGAAATGGGGGTACAATTGTTACAAATGGGGATGAATCCAAATATCAAGCAATACAACCAAATCGAATTGTTGTGCAATTTAATATAAAGCTATGATAATTTATGAAAATAAAATCAACAAAGTATGAAATGTATGTATTTACTTGAAAAGAGAAAATAAAACCTATTCTAAAAAAAAATAATTTAAATTAAAATCTTTATTATTATGTATTTTATTAATTATGTAAACTAACTTTAAAGAAAGAAAATAAGCTAAGTTAATTCTTTTTTTTTGGTGTTTTATTAAATGTAAGAAAATTAATAAAAATAAGTTATATAAAAAAAGAAAATAGTGAAAATTGATTTTCAAGATTTAACTCAAAAAAATGTGTTTTATATTTTAGTTAGTAATAAAACAAAAGAAAGAAACAAATTAAAAAGTATAAATGGGCTTGAGTGAATGGATGAGAGGCCCAAAGGTATTTTGTTGTTAACAAAAAAATGAGCCAAAAGGGGGGTATGAGCTAGCAATCGCGTGTGGGCTTAGAGACACTTGAACAAAACAGGGCCCAAAGCTCTAAACTGTTTTAGATTCTGATTAGGGAAGTGAAAATGAATTAGGGTTTTTGGAACCCCTTTTCGTCCACAGTGGTGCCGTTCGTCCCTTGCTTTTCTCTCTTCCAATTTGTTCATCCCTGATCTCTGTTACTCACCTCTTCCTAATTTCATGAACAAGTCACTCTCTTAACAACTTAATCTCTCATCATCTCTCCGCGATTCACGTTTCTATGAAAACCCTAAGGTCGGATTTATGCCTAATCTGTTCGATTATAGCTTATTCTGATCTTCCCCCCCAGGTTTCCGTTACCGGAGCTCTCTCTCTCTCTCTCTCTCTCTCTCTCTCTCTCTCACCTCCTAACCAAGCGTTAACGTTTTTATTTCTTTGAAAGGTATGATTCTGTGGATTTGAAGTTTGAATGCTTTTTGTTGTTGTTTTGTATTGTTCATGTTTTTCATGTTAACCTACTGTATTGCCTATTGAGATGTATGAAGTGATTTATGAGGAATGAGAAAGATCCATACCTGTTTGGAAATTTCTGTGAAATGAAAAGGAAAGGTGAGCTTGAGAGTAGTGATCATTGGTGGCCGGAAACAAAGGGGGAAGAAATGAAGAGGATTGAGGACGTGCTTTTGGCAACCTCTTTCTGTCCTTTGAGCTTTGAATGATGATGATGATGTACTTCTGTTTTTGTGATTTTTTCGTGCTTTGTTGGATGTTGTTTGCTGATGATGATGATTTGATGATGTTGATTATCTGGGATGTTTGAGGCTTGAATGCTATTTTATCTGATTATGGTTATGGATTCTTGGAATGTTGGGATGGTTTTTGCAGTTTTGGAAGTTTGGTTTAAACTGTTTTACAGGTTTTGGTTGAGTATGTTTTTTTCTTCTGGTTTTTGATTTATATGTTGGTTTGAGATTTGTTTTGAGGTTGGGCAGTTTGAAGGTTGGTTGTTACAGTTTGAATGTTGGCTTGGTAGTTTGGGAGTTTTGTGATTTGAGGATGGTTTGAAGTATTGGCTTTGAACTGTTTTACAGTTTTAGGGATTTTGTTGACAATTGCAGGTTTTGGACTTTTTGGTTTTTTTTATAATGGTTTGATGGATGAGGCTTGATGATGGTTGTTACAGTTTGCAGGTTGTATTTGAGTATGTTTTTCTGGTTTTTTACTTGTTGGTTATCAATAGGTTTTTGTTATACAATTTTGAAGGTTTGTTTGATGATTTTTGTGGTTTGAGATGTTGGACAGTTTGAATGTTGGTGTTTGAATGTTTTTTGTTGTTTTGGATTTGTTGACAGTTTTGGGGGAAAATGGTTTGAAGGTTGATGGTGTTGAAAATGGTTTGACAGTTTTTTTTGTTGTTTTGGATTTCTTAACAGTTTTGAGGGAAGATGGTTTTTTGTGGTTTGAACTTGTTACAATTTGCAGGCTTGGTTTGGTATGTTTGAAGGTTTTTTTGGAATTTTTACAGTTTTGAGAACTTGGTTCTTTTTAGTTTTTCTGAAGTTTGATATCTTTTTATTCTCTCCCTTTTTTGCTTGAGCCTTGTCTACTGTTATATTGGTTGCTTTGGTTTGACAGCTTATTCAAAATGGTGAGAAAACCACCAAATTTTGAATATTTGGCATATTGTTCTCATGCTCTTTTTCTTGCAGTTTTTGTTTTCTAGCAATTCTTGTGCAATTGTGACAGCAAGACAACATCCCTAGGTGACTTCTTTCCTCTTTCTCTCTCAATGACCCTAAGAGCCAAATGCTCTTTTCCTTTTTTTTTTCTTCTGAAAAGTTTGCAACAAAAGAGGAAGATGATGAAATGACTATGAACAAGCCTCTTGCTTGTTGACTTGGTTATTATATTGCCATATTTTCTTTGCTGCCTGCTTATACTGCTATGTTGTTTGTTGCTTGTACTGCTTGCATTTTTTTTCCATGCTGCTGTTTGGCGCATGCAGTTTGGAATATTTGTTTTGGCCACTGTTTGGGCATTTGGCTACATTTGTTGCTTGTTTGGCCCTGTTTTGCGCCTTCTGTTTGTTATATTTGTTTGGTTGCCTTGTTGCATTTCTTGTTTGGACAGCCTTGTTGCATTTGGACAATTTGCTTGCATTTCTTATTTTTTTTTGTGAACCAAGAAGAATAATCTTCTTGTGATTTAAAAATAGAAAAATAAAAACGTGATGAATTAAAAATAGCCTTCTGATTCCCAATTGCAAACTTTAATGATGAACACCATTCTTTCTTTTGAAAATTCTTGCTTATGCCCAAATAGTTTTTGTACTAACTATTTCTTCTGTCTCTTTTTTTCATATGAGCACAACTGGATGGTGGCAAAGCAGAGGAAGCAAGAGACTTTGTGGCAAACATGGAATTAATGGAAGCTCAGTCAACCTTAGGCATAAATTTACTTTCTTTGTAATTTAGAGAGAAATATTAAATCAATTGTACTAATTTATTTTTCAAATACGATAAGTTGTAAAACCTAAAGTATTTAAATAATAAATTGTTTTGTAACAACTTTTGAAATAAATGGAGAAAGTTTTATGAGATATTCTGATGTCCATTAAAATCCTTTACTCAACAATAACTTGTAATCCTCTCTTTGCAACTTCACTAATTCTTAAAGATTCCTGATCAAGATAATTGAAACTGCATTCCAATAATTCCAATTAAGATAACTTAAATTCCAATAATCCAAAAATTATGTAATCTTGCAACTGCATTCCAATCAAAACACACAGTGTCTATTCCAATTCTTAAACAAGCAAATATTTTTAGAAGACGTAAATCATCTGGTTAACCTTGAAAACAAACACTTTTTTTCCAGTAATCTTGAGAAAGCATGAAAACATGTGAAAGCCAATTGGATCTTTGAGAATTCATTTCTTTTGAGGATTGCAAGAAAAACCCTAATTACTGGTTTACTGCCACAGGAGAAAATCTGTTTGATCGATTCCTGAGCCAACTTGAATATCTGAGAAACCCTAGGGTTGTGTTCTCTATGAAAAATGAGAGAGCAAATTTTGGGGTACAACAGGTCCCTTAACTATAGGTCATGGTTCAGTTTGGTCCCTTAATTTTTTTTGTGCCAAATTAGTTCCTTAATTTTCAAAACGTAACAAACAGGTCCCTTCCGTCAGTTGACTCAAAATTCCGTTAATTTTACCTACGTGGCAGATGAGCTGACATTTTATCTTCATCTTCTTTATGTGTGTTATTCACTGTTTCCATGATCATTTTCATCACCAATTGCGTTAACATCAAACAAAATGTAACAAGATCCAACAAATTTCACACACACCAACACAAAAAAGACTAAATTCTTTTCATGAAAAAACCAAAAACTGAACACCCAATGAACATAAACAGTTCCAATTACAAACCCCATAAGAGAATTGAGAGGGATACAAAGAGATAAAGAATGAAGCTCTGATTTTAACACAAGAGTTTTAGTGGGACCCTCAAAGGGTAGATGAGAAACAGGTTTGGTGAGCATGAGAGGACGATCATCATCATTGATGTTGTCTTCTTCAGTGTCGGTGGTGCTAAGGTTGATGAAAGAAAAACATTCCAAGGAAGCAAAGAAAGCAGAAGCCACGTTAGAGCCGACCCAGTTGGCAACTCTGTCTAGTTTGTCGCACGAAATTAAACTGAATGTGTTGTTGTTGGACATTCTTGATTTATCAGAACTATATGTTGTAGGTTGTTGTTGTGGATTGGAATGAAATCTGAAGTAAAGAGAGATGAATTTAGAGATAGAGCTTGGAATTTGGTTTGTGGAGATTATAGAGGTTAGAAGCCAAAATTTTGAGAAGAAAGGGTTATGAAAATTCTGGGAAGAAAGAGACATTCTTTTAATAAGGTTTGATGAATGGTTTAGTTGGATTTGGGAAGAAAGGGTTATTAAAATTCTGGGCAAACCTATGTTGATGAAGATTCTCTTTGGTTTGAGTGGAGAAATGTTATCCTTTCGTTTGGTTTTGGAGAAGATTGAGATTACATTTCCTTACGCTTGCCATCTGGACTCCAGCTAGCCACTTCAGCAAGTCAAATGCCATCTGAAACCTATTTTTTGACTTTGACTAACGGTTCACTAACGAAAGGACTAACGTGGTTACGTTTTGAAAATTAAAGGACTAATTTAACACGAAAAAAATGATCTATAGTTAAGAAACTACAATAAATATTTTGCCTTAAATCAATCATTCATTAAAGACGAGACACAATATATGTTTTTTTAAAGTAAACACTATAATATCTATAAATTCGAATACGTTCTGGTTTATTATTAGACTACAATATAAAGTTATTTTATGTGCTTAAGTTGTTTTATTAATGGAATTAAAAACTATCATAGAAAATGTGATTAAAAACTATCATAGAAAATGTGATTAAAAACTAATAAAATTGGGAAACACATTAATAAACCATAAATAGTTGGTTTTATTGCATTCAATACACGCACCGCACCAATGCACCATCACTAAAAATAGTAACAAACACGGTTTCGTATCTTAGGGGCATAACGACTTTTGAAAAAAATCTGCATATAATCGCTTATTTTCAAAATCAAAATCAACTTCAGAAATTATCAACAACGCATGCATGCGAAATAAACCTCATGAAGATGTCTCCATTAGAGTCTCATCGCTACGAGCAGCCACACGATCACATCAACGAACATGGTTACAGCCAATGCAGTCTCACCGGAATCATTCTTCCGTCTCTCGGCGCCAACTCCGTTTACGACATCAACGCGAATGACCTCCCCCGCCTCACCATCTCCCCATACAACCGCCGTTATGAGTAACATTTTTTCCATTTCTATCGATAATTATAAGATTGAATTTCTTCGCTAAATTGACCTAATCAATTGAGCTAATTAATCACGATAATGCGAATGATTATGATAATGATTATGATATTTTTGTGATTGATGTTGCAGACAATGGAACAAGTTTCTCTTGATATGGGTTTTCTACACTGCAATTGTATGTCCTTTTGAATTTGGGTTTCTGTATTCTTCAAAGGGTGCACTTGCAATAGCAGACAATTTTGTGAATGCGTTTTTCTTAATTGACATTATTCTCACGTTCTTTGTTGCTTATGTTGAGAAAATCACTTACCTTCTCGTCGGCGATAAAAGGAAAATTGCTTACAGATATATTAGATCATGGTTCCTTTTTGATGTCCTGTCTACTATACCTTATGAAGTTTTTCAACATGTGTTGCCAATTAATCTTCGGACCTATGGTTACTTCAGTATTCTCCGCCTTTGGCGCCTTCGTAGAGCGAGTGCTATGTTTCAAAGGTAACTAACATTCAAAGCTTGAAATTTTCCTTCTTTCTATTGAAATTTACTTCCATGTGTTTAGGTAGAAAGTTATTCTCATTAGTGGCCCTTTTGTTTAGATTTGGGTTAGTAGAATGTTTTTATCGATTTAGTGTGTGTTTTTGTTTTGCGTTGGTAAATGTTGGTTTTGGTTTGAGTGAGTTGAATGTACGTTTAGAACATTCATGTGAAATCAATTGTAAAGACAAAATTTCTAGAATCAATTCTTGAGACAGAATCTGTTCTACTTGAGAATACTCAAACATGCCAATATCAATTTAATAATACTTGTGAAATCAATTTTGCCTTCTCCAAAAGTGGAACCGAACATGTATTGCTTATTTATCTTCTTTGTTCATTGTGTCAGGTTAGAAAAGGATAGGAATCATAAGTACTTTGTGGTGCGCTGTACAAAACTTGTTAGTGTAAGTACTTTCTAATTATATAGTGATTCTTTTTTTTTTTTTTGAGTTTGTTTAGTTATGGCTTATACTACCTCTGTTCTCAAATCTAAGTAAAAGAAGTTTATGTATCTAGTTAAATTTGGATGATACACATATACTTTTTTGCTTATATTTGAAAACAGAAGGAGTGAAGTATTAAAAAAAAAAACCCAACTTATGAGTTAAAATGTGAATCCGTTTGTAGGTAACACTATTTACGACGCATGTAGCCGCATGCACTTTCTATTTTCTTGCTACAAGACCTAACCATAAAAAACCTACATGGCTATCACTTGTCTCGAATGCTTCCAGCCTAACTATGTTGGACAGTTACGTTACATCACTATATTGGTCCATAGTGACACTTTCATCAGTTGGTTATGGAGATTTACATGCCGTAAACTCAGATGAAATGATTTTTGTCATTTTTTTTGTGATTTTCAATTTTGGACTTACTGCATATCTGATAGGAAATATGACCAACTTGGTTGTCCACTGGACTGATAGAACTAAGAATTATGTAAGTATATACTTATTAACAATTTATGCACTTGAATATTCTGCATCAATATTATGGTTTTATAGCGTACTAGACATACTTATTAATTTCAATTCTGAATGTGGTTTTTTTGTGGTGCATTAGAGAGAAACTATTGAAGCTGCATCACATTTTTCACGTAGGAATGGGTTACCTCTACGTTTGCAAGAACAGATATTTGCTCATTTTCATATGAAGTACAAAACAAACATGGAAGGACTGGAGCAGCAAGAGATAATCGATTCACTTCCAAAAGCCATTCAGTCAAGCATCGCACACTACCGATTCTTTGAACTTATTCAACAGGTTTACTTGTTTAGTGGAGTGTCAAGGGACCTACTACATCAATTGGTAATATTATTCTGTCTGCTATAATATAACCCTGCTTTGTTGACGAAGAAAACCATTGAGTTTATGTTAACCAATCTGCACGCGGTAAATAACTTATTTTAAAGCACACATTTGATTTGTAAGCCTGCTTCAGCAATTCGGGTCCTCGTATCTCCAACTCGTGAACTTAGATGACATATACATAACTACATCATAACTGATAACACTCCATTTTTTCGATGGGAATTTCTCTTTATACCTAGTAGTGGTGATTTTCACTATTGAAAATCCGAAAATGTCCTTCGCAAGTGCACATGCGAAGTCACCTCTCAGCCTGTTTCGCATGTGCACATGCGAAGAAACCATTTTTTGCATGTTTAGAGGTTGTTTTGCATGTGCACATGCGAAACTTGCTGCGAAAAAGGTTTCGGACGTGCATATGCGAAACTTCCTCTGTTTGTGTCATTTTTTTTAAAACTACGTCATTCCACTATTTTATAATCGGACAAATTTTTTACGATTTTTTCAAAAATATAAAACAAGCATAACAATACGGACATAACTGTTAAATTAGATGTTTAGACATAATTGTGTACATAAATTATTTGGAAAGTAAGTACGGTCAAAATATTACACCAACAACAAAAAACAAAACATAACATAGGCTACTGCGTATGCCTGATCCTGACCCCCTGTGACCTCCTTTGCCAAGTGTACTGCACCGCACTAGCTGCATCCCTAACCATCCTCCCAACTATGGCAACCGCCTCAGGACCACCACTCTCGATGATACCGGAATCCAATGCCTCCTGTCTAAGTAGGTGTGTCCGCTGACAGACCGACAAGAGATCAGTGGCATGGCCATCCTCGGCCTGCTGATTCTCCAATAGCTCCTCATGAGCTGGCCTAGGCGGACGTCCAGGACCATCTAATGTCATGATAGGGTGTGACACGTTAAAGAACCATGTCACGTTACCCTCGACACAATACCAACTCTCAGATGCCGGCATCATCCGATACTCCTGTGGCACCAAATGATTCTCCCAATCCTGGAAGATGGCATCGAGATCCTGCCGGACAATGGTGTCGAGAGCAGCCTGAAAAGGAGATCTCGGTATCATCTGGACATAACCAAATTGCTGGATACACCTCTTTGGAAGATACCTGACCTTAAGATTCGACCCACATGTTAGCCACCCAGAGTATAATGAGATGGTATCTGTTGATATTTGTAAATATATAATGTTAAGAATATTTGTATGTAGAATAGTCCCACATCGATTATATAGTGTAATTAGTTGTAATCTCTCTATATATAATAAAGTCTCCGTAGTGCTTTCATAACACACGGTTTAACCTAAATGTCTCTTAGTCTCTCCTAATTCAATATGGTATCTAGAGCCTTCTAAGAGGCAATTCTTCGTCGTGCTTTACCCGGTTGACCCACTGTCTTCCGGTGAGAAATTTTCTTCTGCAAACCGTGTCATCATTCCGGTTTGTCTCACCTTTTTTTTAAATTTTTTTTTTCAGCGACCTCCGCCAAGCACAGTCCACGGGAAAAAAAAATTCGGAGGACTACTGTTCACCGCTGCTGTCATTGTTCATTGCCGTCACACTGTTCACCGCCGATGTCACTGTTTATCGGCGCCGCTACTGTTCACGAAAAAAAAGTTTTTTTCCCGGAAAATCGCCTTCCTCCTCCGGTTCCAGATCCGCTCTCGGTTTTCATTTTCGACTCACAGAAAGTCGTACTCTTGTTCAAACAGCCCCAGTTGTTGTGTTTTAAGCCATGGGAGATACTGATTCTATCTCTTTTACTAAAGTTCTGCTTATCCCATATGAAAAACTAACCGGATCAGCCAACTATAACATATGGGCTCGTGCTGTCGAGATGCGGTTTCACGGTCAAGGATATGAAGAGCATCTAACCACCCAATTGAGTGATGTTGCAGCCGTCAAACTCGCTAAATGAAAGAAAACTGATGCCTCTTTGTGTTCTGTGTTGTGGTTTTCCATAGCACCTAACCTCC